TGAAGTGAGTGCCTCGCTACCCCTGAGACCACTAGTTAACCATGTACACCCACACAGTAAAAGGAAACTAATGTTAAACAAAGAGTCTGATCATCACATTGCAAACCTGCCTGAGAAAAAAGTGAGTCACTTAAGAATGTAGTATTCACCACTCACAGACCAACTGTATTCATAGGTGAAGAAAAATGTGTCTACTACAGGAAACACAGACAACAGTCCAAACCAAAACTTAACCGAACAGTCACATCAGTCCTACACATGGCACTAGCAATGTCCAGTTGCTGCCGGGTGGAGAAGAGCCCAAATCCTTAAGATTCTTTTGAAGGTATCATGGTGATCCCAAGTCCAGCGCCTATACATTCAAAAACATGGAGTTTTCCAGATACTTCACTGTTCTTACACCTGGAGAAGCCTCTATGGCTTATTCCCTTAGAAGCAACACAGGAGATACACAAAGTATCAAAAGACACAACTGGACATACCCACTAATTATGATCACGGTAGTCTAAGGTATCTCTGTAAACAATGTCTAAGGCTAAAAAAAGAGTCCATTTGAAAGCCAATTAGGGCCCCACCCTTTTATTCTAAAAGTTTTATTCATGTTTGGCTTTCAAGAACATGCCTATTAAAGCTGTTATTTTGAGTATAGGAATCTTGGAAAGATTCTGAAAATAGCCAATGAGCAGTTATTTCTTACCTTGTGGAGCAGTTACTGGTTTTTCATTCATAATTTGAATCCATGAAAGTTTTGACAGCATGACATCTACCCTGAAGAACCCATGATTTTTAAAGCAAGATAAAAGTCACTTCATTCATTGGAAAACACCATTTAGGCAGATTTGTATTTCCAAACGAAGCACTTACTACAGAATGAACAAAGCTAGAATATCTTCAGAAAGCATGCATTTCACTTCCAGTTTAAAGTAGAAACTTAACAAATTATGTCCAAACTACATATTAAAATATTTATAAAAATTAAGCTTTAATGTTTATTTCTAGCTTTCCACATCTGTGTGCAGACAAGAAATAAGATTGCATGTAAGTGTAAGCAGTGCAAAAATGTGGAAGTGGAAACACCACATTTGCTAGAAACTGTACACAGGACTTGAAATAAAACAATGGGTAAATCAAGTTAACTAGGAAAAAAGTAAAACTACAGGGTCAGAGTTAGGGTGAAGGATGGTAATGCCCTTGTTACTACAGTTCAGCAGTAGAAAGAGCGCTTGTTGAACAGAAGAACCCAACAGCACTCGACCTTAGCCATGCATGTGAAGTTCCCTGCAGTGGTACCTGCTGCACTGACGCTCACAACTGTAAATGGCTGACAATCCACTCCCTCGGATACTCAAATACCCCAGGGCTAGGCCATATCAACACAGCCTCGCAACAGCTCCCACATTGAGCAGTACTTTATTCTGTCAATTCCGACCCACTGCTCCCATGTGATGGTTTTCTTAGGGTGTCAAGTGTACAAGGTGAAGACATTCTAGACAGGGGATGCACCTGGAAAATAAACTTCAACTCCATACACACATTTCAGAGCTGCTGGGGCCCAAGTCCATCTCGATCTCCAGGGCTGCCAGGATCATATGCAGCACACTGAAGCTACGCTATCCAAGCAGCCTATTCTGTGTAAGTCAGGTCAAATGATAGATCAACCTGTAACAGACTGCATTTTAGCTGAACATGACAAAATAGTCACTCTTGAACTTTATATCATTATCTGATGTCAAACAATGAAGCAAATCCCAACAGTATATACAAAAAAA